CGGAAGTGACGAAATGGGCCTATTTTTCAGCCTGCAAAGGCTGCAGAGGCTTCCCTCAAGCCTCTGGCAGGCTGAAAAAGGCCTCAATCAGGCCAAAAAGCAGCTGGGAGGTGCAGTGCAGGTAAGGGCGTGTGGGGGGGGATCACGTGCGCATGCACAGGGGGCCCGTGTGTATTGCCTTCTGGGTGCTTGCATGCGAGCGTGCGTGCACAATTTTTTGCACAGGAGCCCAAAAAGGTTAGCCACCACAGGTATAGGGTCTCCTGCTTGAGCAGGGGGCTGGACTAGAAGACCTTCAAGGTTCCTTCCAGCTCTGTCCTGTTCTATTCTAACCTATGTCCAATAAACATGCATCCACACGGATGCTCACGTGCCCAGCGCTGCCGGATGATTTCTCATGTATATGCTGAAAATTAAACTGGATCAGAGCCAGCCCATTGGAACCTGCCTAAATCCCTGGGCCCTTCCTCCAGGGGTTGCCACATAGTGAAGGGGTGGGCATGTTTCAAACACAGGCCAGATCTGAGGAGAAATTTCCTACAGGGAGGAGCTATTAACCAGCCTTGAGAAGTGGAGATTGAGGGTCTTCAGACCAAGGGGGTACCACCATCTGCCTCAAAAGCCTTAGCAGATCCTACACAGAGCAAGGGGTTGGACTAGATGACCACCAAGGTCTTCTTTAACTCTAAGATTCTGTGATTCAAGCACCTCTGGTCTAGGTGGATCTGGGCTCTGTCCGGCCTTCTTGAAAGCAACTCTGTCCTATTGTCCCCATTTTTTCGTACCTATTTCCTGTATTCTTACTCATGTTTATACTTATATCTATTACCTTGTAAGGGATTGACAAATCAAATAAATAAATACATAAACAAACTCCCAGGTGCCCAGCCAAAGCCACTCAGGGCCTTCTGGGGGAGGCCTCCCCTTCACACCAGCCACGGTGGGCCTGGGGGCAAGGCACTCTCGGGGCTGGTTTTGAACTCGGGCTTACCGAAGACGGTCAGGATGACGGATCCCACCAACATGATGCAGGTCTGGAGTGTGTCTGTGTAGATCACGGCGGCCAGTCCTCCTGCCAGGCAGAGCGAGGGGAGCAGAAGGCTGCGATAAGGAGAGGGAGGCGGCCCAGGGCCAAGCCCCCCCCCCAAAGAAAACCCCTGGGCTTCTCTGCTGGGAAATGGGCAGGGGGCAGACAGGGGGGGGCTTCCCAGGCACCAAGGGGCCCGAAAGGTTGCGGGGGGGGGGGGGCTGAGCCTGACATCAGGGCTGGGAGGCTCACCTGCAAATGGGACTCACCTGTGATGGTGTAAAGGCCTGTGATAGTCAGCAGTATAATGATGGCCACATAAATATTCAGTCCCATAGCAATTTGGATGAAGATGGCTCCGGAAAATATGTCTGCCTGTCGTGCAAAGGAAGAATTGGCCCCCTTAAGCCAGAGCACCAGGGAAAACCCCACGCAGAGCGGCAGATGTGCCCCGAGGGGCCTCTCCATCCACCACACCCCAAGGGCTGTGCTGCACGAGGATGTGGGGGGGCTTTTGTGTGGGCCTGGTTATAGGGGTGTCCCAGAGGAGGACAAGGGGAGGAGGGGGGCAGGAGGAACTGCGGCAGCTGGCCCTGGATCAGCCATCTCCACTGCCACCAGCCCCTGCTCCCTGGAAGCAGAGAGGGTAATGGCCAACAATAACCTTAGAGACCAACTAGTCCAGCCCCTGCTCAAAGAGGAGCCACCAGTAGGGTCTTCCTGGTTTAAGTAGCCACAATGAAATAGGGGTGCAGGGAGAGTGGGACACCCTTGTGCATGGACTGTAGCCTGCTCCTGAAAATGTGCCCCTTTTCTATGCAACCAGTGGGGTGGGGCCTGACACTTGAGCACCCACAAATGGGGGCCCACCAGGACAGGGGTTGCCAACCTTTTGGACCTCAGGGACCACCAAACTCATCATTTTAAATCCCGTGGGCCACTAATATGAATTTTGACTGACGGTGGCTTGCTGATGTTTTCCCAGGTTCTCTGCTGCTTTCTGGGAAAATCCCCCCCAAAATCTGCAGGAAAATTCTCCACCCTGTTTTCCTACTGATCAATCATTCTTTATTTGGGATCGCAGGATACCGTCTCCAGCTCTGTTCTCGGGCGGGAGAGAAAGAGAGAGAGAGAGAGACTTTTGGCTTCATGCAAGGAAAGCAGCAGAAGCAGCAGAAGTCTTTCCTTCTCTCCCCCAAACTCTGCCAGAAATGAGTCTTTGCCGGCGCAGCCTCTTGGAGCAGGAGGCCTTGCAGGGTCCCCAAGACTCATTTCTGGCAGTTTGGGGGAGAGAAAGGAAGACTTTGGCTGCTTTCCTTGCGTGCAGCCAAAAGCAGAAGAAGGAAGAAGCGGAAAGAAGCAGCCCGGTGGCCAGGCCAGGCCCATGGGGCAAGTTCCCCCCCCCTTCTGCCCTTTCCCCACCTCCCCTCACGACCTTGTGTTCGCAATGCAAGCGACGCAAGCCTTGTGTTCCCACGGGCCATGTGGGCGGCGCAGCCTTGTGTTCCACCGCAGCCTGGATTAATTGCTTTGGCGCTGACATTTCTCTAAGGACCACCAAAATTTTCTCACGGACCACCAGTGGTCCCTGGCCCACTGGTTGGTGACCACTGCACTAGGAGGCTGGTCTCAGGTCTGGCCTTCCTCTGCCCTTCCATCTTACTCATCCATTGCCAAAGAGGTAATTACAGGTGTGGAATGAAAGGCGTGTCTCCTTGAAAGCGCTGCTTACGGGAACAGCAGCGTCCCCACATCCTCCCAGAACCCGCACCTCCTTCATGGCCTCAGGCAACCTGCTGTGGTAGGGCTGACCCAGATCTCCTGCAAAGGGACGGGGTCTCCCCCTCGGAACTGGCAGAATGACGGTGGGGCTCTAACAGAGTCTGTACCCCTTTGGCACTGCCTGCTTGGCAAGAGGCGGAGGGCCCGCCTGGCCCCTGGAGGAGGCAGCCTGCAGCCAAAGGGCTCCGGCACTGCTCTCTCCGGATCCAGCTGTTCACCCTTCCAGAAAGGGCTCTGGCACTGCTCTCTCCGGATCCAGCTGTTCACCCTTCCAGACAGAACTGCCTGCATCTCTCCCTCTCCCATCGGGTCCCTGGCTTCTTGGGGGGGGGTGCCCTTCCCACCCCACTGCAGTTTAATCAGTAACCCTGATAGAGATCATTTATTGCCTGCTAGTGAGAGAAGGCAGGGGCCCTGGGTTAATGGGCACAATTAACTCCTGGCCGTTGTTCACCGGGGCAAAGAGTAGCATCGTAGGACATCTGCCAGGCAGAGAGCCCTGAAGAGAGGGAGGGAGGGGGAGGGAGGGAGGCCTCCCTTGGACTCACTAGCTCTAGGCCTCTTTCCACCCCCCAACATGGCTTCTTACACCCCCCCCCCCCGAAAAGAAGGGCTTGTAGGAAAGGCATCTGCTTTGGAGAAGTGTTCCGTCAGCCGTTTACTTGGGAGTTGAGGGACGAGAGTTCCTTCTGGACTGTGGCCCTCAGAGGTCCATGGGAAGATGTGGGGCCGAGGTATCTGGGACTGGCTTGTTGCTGTGCAGAAGCCCAGGGGATGCAATCCATCCAGCCCGGAGGCTGTCGTGTGGGAATACCCAGCTCTCAGGACGGGAAGGTTCCTCCAGGCACTGGGCCCATCGCACAACTATCAGCCCCTTGGCAGGGTAGTTGACTGCCCCTCCACTCCGGACGCTCCCTCAAAAGCCCCTCCCCTCCCCCTGAGGGTGGGGGGACATTGTGGGCCTGAGCTACAGGGAGCGCCATGAAGTCCTTTTCTTCTATGAGCCTTCAGTTGCTAAACTCACCGAGATCTTGGTGAAGATGTACAGGAGCAGAGACAGGACCGACAGGTAGATCTGAATCCGTTTCCCTCCGAAGCGTTTCTTCAGATACTCCGGCATGGTGACCACCTGTGAAGGAGGAAAAGGTGCTGATGGGGGAATGGGGAACATCCCAAGAACTGCAGAAGCATGGATTGAAAAAAAAAAGGGGGGGGGGGGGGGGTTTTGCTAATTTTGGCCCACCATGCAAAAAAGAATGCATTTTTCAACCTTGGGAACTTTAAGATCCACACCTCTTAAATTTTCCACGGTTTAGAAACCCAACTCTACCAAAAAGGCTATTTAGTGCGTAATCAGGAAAGGGATGGTTGGCACCTTTCTTCCCTCCCGTCCTTTCTCCTTCTTGGAGTGGACACTCCGCGTAGGGTGAAGCATCCCTGCCTTTGCTTCGCTTCTTCCCTTGAGGAGGGGGAGGAAGCGCCAAGGAGCGATTCTGTGGGACGTGTTTAAGTGACAAAAAGAAAAGATCGAGGCCACCCTGGATCTGGGGCCAACCTGATGAGAAACGGTGCCAGCATCCTTGCAGGTAAATAATCACCTGGAAGGACTACAGGGCCAGAGATGCTCTTTTGGTAAAGAAGCCTCTGGTCTGGAAGACCTTCTTGTCGGGCCCCACCTGTGCCTGATCCAGGCAGGGGAGGAGTCAACCAAGACGGTACGGTTACTTCGCTGTTGTTCAGTTTTTATAGCCATTCATGGCTAATTGTCTGAACGCTGCAGCCTCTTTCCCCATGGAAATCAATAATGCAATAGTTTTATGTGACTCCTGTCCCTCCTTTTTGATTGCCACTTGTAACATAACAAAGTTTAGGATGGTCTCCAAGCAGATCTCAAAGTTTGAGCTAGATGTCAATGGGGTGGACGGACGTGTGGCCAGATGACTGCCTTCAACCAACCTTTTTCGGCCAACGGAAAACCCCAAACCTCACTTTTCACCAAGTCCAGAAACGCTGGCTGAACTATTTGGGCACTTTTTTAGATAAGAGGAGCCCAACCATGTTCCAGCTGCTGTGATGGCCTCGTGGGAGGCCAGACATCGTTCCTCGAGTCCATCCGTCCAAGCTCTTCCCAGAGGTGCGTTGTGTAGGGAGTGCAGCATTCTAGCTGGACGCGGGTCTGCCCAATGGAGAGACCGGAGCAGGGGTGTCCAGCAGGGGTGGGATTAAAATAGTTTAACAGCTGGTTCTCTCCCCTGATGATCGGCTAGGTGGGCGTGGCTGTGCTGGGCATGGCCAGGGGGTCTGGCAGGCAGCACTTGGCCTCCGGCACCCCCCCCCCTTGGAGCAAAAATGGGCCGTGTGGGGGAGCCACACACCCCCATGCCCCGTTTTGGCCTGGTGGGCCTCCCTGCATTTACCTGGGAGCTAGAACGGGGCACAGGGAAGGGGCAGGGAGGGGCCAGCCAACAATTTAACAACCAGTTCAGCTGAAGTGGTGCAAACTGGCTGAATCCCACCATGGGTGTCCAATCTTGGCCACTTTAAGACTTCTGCGCTTCAGCTCCCAGAATTCCCAGACTGCAAAGCTGTAGATCAGGGGTGTCCAACCTTGGCAACTTTAAGACTTGTGGACTTCAACTCCCACAGCTGGCTGAGGAATTCTGGGAGTTGAAGTCCACAAGTCTTAAAGTTGCCAAGGTTGGACACCCCTGCTGTAGATCTTCCCAAAGATGTCGGTGACTTTAGGAGCGGCGTCTTCTCCAGGTTCAAGGAACAACCTCATCATGGGGACTTTCCCGGAGCTCCCTGTAGCTCCACGGTGTCCCTCCACCCTCAGGAGGTGGGGAAGGGCCAGGGGGTGCCCCTAGGGCCCTCGAGGGAGCATCAGGATTGGAGAAGGCAATTCCCTCCTTCTTTCCCAGGAAGTCCAGAAGCCTTAAAGGTGTCAAGATTGGGCGCTCCTGGACGAGTGCTTCACGGAAGAGACGCAAACCCCTGGGCAAGGCTGAATCTCCTGCCACCAGGCTTGGCCCCGTGGATGCAGGCAGTGCCGCTCCTTGCGCCTGCAAAGTTCGTCTAGGACAGAGAAGCTGTTCCTGGAACAGAGGTGCAGCCGCCCAGGAAGGGCCCGAGTGACTGATTTGGGCTGGCAGAAAGAACAAAGCGAGGTGGGGCAGGCAGTTGCCGGTGTCTCACCAGCGGCCCAGTTTTCTCCCACGCTCACTTGACTGCCCCCCCCACCCCCGCCCTCCAGGTCAGCCCAGGCGGGGCGAGCCGAAAGGTTCACCCACATTCCTCTGCACAGATACTTTCCTTTCTCCTTTGAAGAAGACAAAAAAAAAACCCTTCCCTGCCCCAGATGGTATTTACGTGAAATATTTACTTGAACATAAGGACCCGACGTTACCTAGCAAAACTCTGCTTAAAGCAGGCCGACTACGGAGCTGCCTTAAGACGCATCCAATATAGTGGATAAAACATTTTAGGGTTTTCAACTGAAATTCCTGAACTGAAGCCAGTTAGGGGCACTGGCTTGTGAGCCTCATCAAGCATCTCATCAACCGAAAAAGTTTTTTTTTACCTTAAATATTTTAATGTTTTACATGTTCAGAATGGGCTTAATAGACTTAAAAGAGTGGTACATTGAATTGCATTTTAGTGCTTAAGTGTGGTATTAATTAATGAGGCTTACGAGTCCAGATAGACCACGTGGGAGAGCTGAAACCCCGTGAATATCTTACTTGCTGCTTTCCTCCCTCTGCTCTCATTTTGTAGAACCTCCTTCTCTCGTCTAATCTGGATTGAATCTAAACTTTCTGGGGTGAGCCGATAGACTGTGCTGCGGCCCAGGGTGCCCAGTCCAAGCCAGCATCCCCTCGGACAAGCACACTGTCCCCGCTGAAGCAGCTGGCAGAACCGCCGCATCGTCTACTCACCCCGGCCTTGATGTAGATGGGCACAAACACCCAGCCGAGAATCACCATGATCACCAGGGCCTAGAAGAGAGGAGGGGCAGGGGGGTTGGCTCTGTCTCTCCCACAGGGCCAGGCAGGAAGGGGAAGACCCCCCCCCATCCACCAAAGCAGCCCAGCCCCAAGCTCCTCTTCCAGGTGGGGCATCCAAGGGGCTTGAGTGGTCTTTGGCCAACCTGTGCCCCCCTCCTCCAGGGCATGCGTGCCCTCCTCCCTGGAGACGGGCTCAGAAGGAGATTTCCAGTGGAGATTCGCACCCACGACCGGCCGAAGGGGAAAGGACTTACGTTCCACTCGAAGCCTCCGATGGCAATTCCTGCAGCCGCCCCGGTCCCTGCCAGGCCCACAAAGTGGCCGCTGCCGATGTTGCTTGCAAAGAGAGAGGCCCCAATCTGGAGAGGAGGAGAGGGAGGGAGCCGAGGGCTCAGAGAGGCCCAAAGGCCTTCCAGACAGGGGTGGGATTCAAATTTTTTTTACTACCGGTTCTGTGGGCGTGGCTTGGTGGGCATGGCTTGGTGGGCGTGGCAGGGGAAGGATACTGCAAAATGCCCCTTCCCTCCCCACCCCACTAACCTGCTTTCCAGCTCCGTTCTCCTGGGCTGGGCAACCAAAGGAGACCCAGCCGATCAGCTGGGACTCAATGGGAGGCAGAGAAGAGATAGGGTTGGCAGGGCCAGTCAGAGGTGGGATTGGCCGGTTCTCCGAACTACTCAAAATTTCCGCTACCGGTTCTCCAGAACCAGTCAAAACCGGCTGAATCCCCCCTCTGCTTCCAGCCAACAAAACTTCAGCCAGAGTTCAGGCAGTCCTCGACTTACAACATTCTTTACAACAATGGCACCGAAAAATGTGACTTTTGACCATTTTTCACACTTACAACCACGGCAGCCTCCCCATGGTCACATGGTCCAAAATTCGGACAGTCGGCAACTGACTCACTCATATTTATGACGGTTGCAGAACCCTTGGGGTCATGAGTTCACCTTTGGGAGCTTCTGACAAGGAAAGCCACTTAATAGCCATATTACTAACTTAACAACTGTGGCAAGAACAATTGTAAAATGGGGCAAAACCGACAACTGTCTTGTTTAACCACAGACATTTTGGGCCCAGTTGTGGTTGTAAGTCAAGGAATATTTGTAAGCCTCACGGAGTTGCCAGGAACGGCTGTGTTAGGCATCCAGAAATTATCCATAGTAATCAATCACTCTGAGACAAGCATAATCTCCAATTGATTTATTAGGAACAGCTCTGGTACGTCTATGGGAATTTCCAAAACTGAAACTCATTCCCAGCGCTGTCACAAATTCTGCCCTATCTCTTCCCACTTACTATACTTCATAAATCACGAGAACCAATTAACTGCAGCTGGAATTTTTTTAATGCGACATACTAAATAACCTGGACCTCAGCCCCCCCTTTCATTGTTCACACTCTTGTAGCAGCTGATCTCAGAGCTGACAGGCTAGGCAGAAATGTTGCTCAAAATATGGGTGACTCCTAGTAAGCGTGAGCTGGCCGTGTGCGGCAGCCGCCAAAAGGGCCAACAACACAGTTCTAGGCTGCACCAACAGAGGGATAGAATCAAGATCTCGTGAAGTGTTCACACCGCTTGGAATCACGATACAGAATAAAAGATGCCGAGACTCTGGAAAGAATGCAATCAAGAGAAGAGCAAGGAAGGGGATTAGGGGACTGGAGGCCGAAAGGTGCGGAGAACAGTGGCAGGAACTGAGAATATCTAGCCTAACCAAGGGAAGAACTGGGGGACATGACAAGGTGGGGGTTTGGACTAGATGACCTAAAAGGTCCCTTCCAACTCTGATGATCTGTATTTGTAACTGCCTTCCAGGGCTGGAGGGGGCTGTCACAGAGAAGAGGGAGGGGTTGACATATCTGTGCAATGGGCTGAGCTGGCTGCAAGAGGCTCTTCTGGGGTTCCCTAGCTCGGAGGCCTCTTTTGTGTGGCCACTGAACAAAATACCAGCCTTTACCTACCAGCTTCTTGGCTAAGAAGGAGCCAGAAGCAGCTGAGCTGTGTCTTCGCTGTCAGTCTCCAGGCGCCTCCCTGCTCCAGGCCAGGAGAGGCAGGGACCCATCTCTCAAGGCTGCACCGGGTGGGGGTGGCAGGGGGGTTGGGGGTTGTAGAGCAGCAGAGAAGCTGCAATGCAGCCAGTATTGGCTAGTCCAAAGGCCTGGCCTTCTGGGCAGATCTGAATGGTCGCGTGAAAGAGCCCAGAAGCCGCCTTAGAAGGAGCCACCTAAGACTTGACAGGTGCTAAAGGAGGTCAGGGGTCCAGTGTGCAGCCTGCAGCCCAAGCAAAAGGCCCATGGATAGCAGTGCCCAACAGAGGGGGGGTGGCTCACATCACAGACCAGTTGGCCAGGAGGAGTGGACAGATCCACTCCTGACCCAGCAACGAGGGGACAGTTGGGAGCATCCAGGGGAAAAGTTGCATCCGGAGGAGAGGAAAAAGTGAACCTCTGAGGACCATGGATGAGGGCACCATCAGGAGAATGGGGTGGAAAACGGGCTCCTGGCTCCTCTCTCGCCACAAAGCCAAAGGAGAACACCCGTCCGTTTCCCCCCAGCGTAGGACGGTGCAAAGCGACTCTGCCACCTTTCCAGAGAGGGACACCAGTGGGAAGAAAGGACTCCCTGGGCGAAACTCACCGGCCACCACACCATGCTCCGGCCGGCCAAGAAGAATCCTCCGACGGTTCCACGGTTGGTCGAGTACATGGCCTGAAGGCAAGGAAAGCAGAGAAATGGGTCACAGGAGAATTGCCTTCAACTGGAGGGGAGAGAGAGTTCGTCTCCAGCGCAGCTCCGTCCCAGTTGGAGCTGGTTTCCACCAGCCACGCCGGGTGAGCAGCCTTGGGCAGCTTCTGGGTGGGGAGCGCCAGGGAATCCCACAGGTGTAGGCCAGGTCCAGGGAATGAAGGAATGGAGCTCAGCTTCCCTCCCTCCCTCTATCTCTCTCTTGCACACGTGTGTGTGCACACACACACACTGCTTCTGGGTGAGGAAGAAGACAACAAAAAAAAACAGTCTGTGGACCAGTTTGTGCTGGACCAGGAGTGGTGAGACTCATCCCACCTTGGGCACAAAGCTTCTCTCAGCCCAGGAAGACGGAGACAGAGCCAATCCCCCACCCAAAGTTTTGTCAAGAAGAGACTCAGCCAGGAC